AAAAGCCCAATGGACTATTACAAATAAGTAAGGAACATGTCATCATACTCTTAAGCCAAAGGGTTAGTAAATGTTTTCAAAGACTAAGAAAACACAACAAGGAGTCTACAGACCTGGGGCTCTGTCCTAGCTCTTTGCCTTATTCATGTAGATTTGAGCAAGTTTTCCAACCTGAGATGCCATCAAATAAATAAAATACTTGTACAAGCAATTAGTGGAGCTGTCTCTTAATCTTGGGTAGAGTTGGGAGAAAAATCTCTCCATTTGAGACAAGTGCTCCAGAGAAGCTGAGATTCTGCATGTGTTTGCAAGTGTTTCGGATTTAACAGTCACAGTAAGCTTGGGAGCTTGTTAACAGATAGGCAGAATAATTAGAATAATTAGAATACACGCACAAGCCACTGACTCTTGCAAGAATGCAAACGAGGAACTGCTGGGCTTCAACTAGTGCAGAAGGTTGGTGAGAAGAGGATTAAATTCAGTGGGACCTGAAGACTATAGTTGAATATTGAGAGCAGAGTTGAGTTTGAGGACCACTTTCAAGTTTCAGATTTGGGAACTGGGGTGCATGAGAGTTCCGTTTACTGAGATATGGAGGGGGACGGCTCACCAATAGAAGGTAATGGCAGTTTTTAATAAATGTCAGTTGATTTTAAGGCTACAAACCAAGGTGGGGGTATCTTTTTTTTTTGTGGCAGTACTGGGTTTTGAACTCAGTCCTTGTGCTTGCTAGGCAGGCACTCTACCACTTAAGTCACTCTGCCAGCCCATAGGTGGCTTGGTCTATATCTCTGGAGCTCAGGAGTGGTCTGTGGTAGGGACTGGAAGTCATGAGTACATATGTGGAGTTTGATCACAGGTGTGGCTGAGGGTATGCTGTAACCATTGGGCTGAGGATGGAATGCTGGCATGCTAGTGAGGATGCTTTCAGCTGCTGCTGAGAAAAAGCCCAACCAAAGGTGGTGCACACAGAAAACCAAAGGTTCAGGAAAGGTTGACTCAGAGGCTACAAAACAGAAGGACTTGGATTCTTGTTTTCATCTGCCTTTCCCAGTATGTTGAGTTCTTTTTATGGCAGAATTTCTTGACAGTTCTGTGATGGCTGGTGCACTTCAAAGCAGCCTGTGATGATGACCAAGTTCAGAGGCAGCGAAGTACGTGGGTATACATCTTTTGAGAGTAAAACACTTTCTCCCCAGCAGTCTTGAACTCATGTTTTGTAGCAAGGTATGGTCACTTGCCCAATCCTCAACTAATCACAAGCAAAGGGATAGTTATTGTGGGAGTAGACACCTGTCACATCACTCTATGGCTACAGAGAGGTGCAGCCTCCCCCAAAGCACTTGACCACTGATAACTGAACAAAATGAAAAGAAACCAGAATATAAGTCAGAAAATCTCCCACTCCCTTGGACCAAAAAAGACAAGTAGAGGAAGAGATGCCTAGAATATTCTAAGGACACTGATATTAATGTCCACAGAAGCTAACGAAGAAATGTGGAGAGCATAATAATTGAGAGCATGATTATTGCAAAAGGGAGGGAGGGAGGAAGGGAAGGAAAAATTAACCAGTGAAACTGCCAGAAAGTCTGCAATTTCCATGCTTTGGATACTGTACTATAGTACAGTGTAACACCAGCACTCTTCTCAAGGCCCTGCCTCAGATGACCTGGCCCCGACTGCACCGAACAGCTGAGCTACCTATGTGATCGTCTGTCCTAGGTGTGCAATGACTGGAAATCCCACCTAAGGTAACCCTCCTTCTCCTGCACATTCACGTTCTTCCCTTCTGCTGGCTGTTTCCCCTTAACCTATACTAGCTAAGATTACATGCTGGCAAATCTGTCTCTAGCTGGAGGCCTGCCCTCTGTCCTCTGTGACCTATTCACACTGCTGTCTCTGTTCCCATACCTTGAGCCCATTTCTTAGTTCATGGGTTTCACATCCAACCATATTCTACAAAATGCCTCTGTAAAAGTCAACTACAATCTGCTAGTGCTAAACCCAGTGGACAATAATTAACACACTTGCTGTCTACAGCACTGAGCTGAAGCTTCGAGCCTAGGACCCTGAAACAGCCCATTCCCTAGCTGCTCCTCACAGTAAGGCTGTGCGGATCAAATCTTGACCTAAGCATCTCATAATCTTTTGGCAGTTTATTCAGTCTCTGTGTATCCCAATTTCCTACCTCAAAAATAGTAATTAGCTGTTGCAATCACTGGTGTAACTTTGAAACATTTAAAAATAATTTTAGACCTAGGAAATTGCAAAACTAGTGCAGACCTGCCATGTCCTCTTGCTCATTTCACCTAACAATGGTATCTTATATAACTACAAGTGAAATGATCAAAATCAGGAAATTCATTTGTACAGGGCTATGAACTGAATTCAGACCTTATTCCAATTTCACAATTTTTTTAATTTTCAATTTTTATTTTGTTTTTACATTTCCAATTTCACAATTTTCCAAGTTAAAAGGCATTTTGGGGTCAAGATCCTTAAGGGGCTAAGAGTCCCTGGGAGAAATGCAGAAGTTAATAGCTCCTGGTGCCTTAGGACTAGAGGGCCTGAGATAGATGTTGAGACCAGTCTCTTCCCAGCAGTTTCAGGACCAGAAGGGCCTGCCTGGGGTGTCATCCCTTCTCTCTCTTTTTTTTTTGTTTTGCGGACTGGGGCTTGAACTCAGGGCCTACACCTTGAGCCACTCCACCAGCCCTTTTTTGTGATGGGTTTTTTTTTGAGATAGGGTCTCACGAACTATTTGCTGGGTTGGTTTTGAACCATGATCCTCCTGCTCTTTGCTTCCTGAGTAGCTAGGATTACAAGCGTGAGCCACCAGTGCCCAGTTATCTCTGTCTTTTAATAAGCAGCAGCACCCAAGATCCAGGAAGGAGAAACCCACCAATTTCCTGAAACTTTATTTGAAGTTCACTGTAATTCTCCATGAAGTAGTTCATCTCTGACTCCATTCAATGTGTAGTTCAGACCAGCAAAGTGGCACTGAGGCCTTAACAGAGTCTACAGATCTGTGGAATTAGGTGATCCTTATTTGTACTTTCTTGGACTATATTCTTTCCATTTGCATGGGTGACTAAAGATTCATTTCATATCTGGCTCTACTGATTTCAGTTTCAAAGGCAATGAATTGTAACAATGTAAAATATTATTTACAACTGTGTTTTTTAAAAGGATGGTTTCCTTTACAAATTAAGACACTGAAGTGAACTTTAGCTTATTACATAAGGACCTGTGAGGGCAAGACAGGCCCTAAGCAGTCATGAGGACGACCAGCAAAATGGATATGGAATGATCAGCCCCTGTAAAGCCAGAGGACAATGATACAGAAAGCGCTGACTCCTAGTCCTGGTCTCATCAAATCACACTCACTGGAGAAAAAACCAAAGAAACCACATCACAGCTATAAGCCACACTAACAGCCCTTGCAGTGTCCTGCCTTTAACTCCAAACAAGCCTACTAGATAAGAACGTACCACCAGGGGCTCGCCTCAGCAGGTGCTTAGCATGTGTGAGGACCCGGTTCCACCTCCAACCCAAAAAGACAGGTACTTTGGTTAATGCAAACAAGTTAGCTGACACAAATGCAGGAACTAAGATTGAATTGTGAATATAAATAGGTGGTAGATTACTGAATTTGCCACAAATGTCCATAGAAAGAAAACTTTACCCCTAAACTTTTTTCTTTTCTGTAGCACTGGGGCTTGAACTAATGGCCTACATCTTGAGCCACTCCACCAGCCCTTTTTTATGATAGGTTTTTCCGATAGGGTCTCATGGAACTATCTGCCTGGGCTGGCTTCTAACCATGATCCTCCTGATCTCTGCCTCCTGAGTAGCTGGGATTACAGATGTGAGTCACTGGTGATCAGCTCCCTAAACTCCTCTTGAGGATCTATTTTCCTAGTCCACAACTTGTACCAGTGCCAGAAAGAGTGGCATAAATGAGTGCCTTGAGTCGTCAACATGCCAACCCAACAACAGGGGACCACTGGACTCAGCAATTAACTGAAGTGACCAGCTGCTGCCCCTAAAGCACATCTCTGAGACAAGAAGGCAAGGATAAAAATCACTGGTCTGCAGAATTCAATGGATATGGTCCCCAGCAAACAGGTGCTGCCTCCACTCTCTACTCAGTCTCTATCCCAGAGTCCCTGTGACCAAAGGCCTGTGTATGCTGAAGGAACATAAATCATCTTCGAGTTAACCTGAACAAATGGAGTCAAAGTTAGCCGGGTGCCAATGGCTCCCTCCTGTAATCCTAGCTATTTAGGAGGGAGAGATCAAGGAGGATCTGTTTCAAGTCAGCCCTGGGCAAACAGTTCCTGAAAACTTTTGAAAAAAAAAAAATCACAAAAAATGGCTAGCGGAGTGGCTCATGCGGTAAGCACAACTGCCTAGCAAGTGTGGGCCCAAATTCAAATCCCAGTGCTGCCAAAAAAAAAAAAAAGGGGGGGCAAGTTAGTGGGTGCCAGGGGAAAAGAAAGGGTGTTGCCAAGCTTAGAGGCTCCAAGGAACCCCCCCTCCCAACACCAGGTTCCTGAGGAGGGGTGCTCAGTCTGGGGTAAGGAGGGGTGCTCAGTCTGGGGTAGGGAGGGGGCCAAGGTACAGACTGTTAAGGAAGGGACAGTCCAGCAGGTGCTGGGAGGAGCCCAGATGCTCAGCGAGAAGGGAACTGGGGCCCCCTGGGAAGCTTGACATCACAGCCCAAATGGCAAGTGAGTCCTTTCCTTCCTTTCTTCCTTCTCTCAAGTTCTTCGAATTTCTCATTAGATCTTCAGTGAAGAGCTATGAAGGTTTGGCAAACATAGCTGAGTCACAGTCCCAGCACTCACAGGACAAAGAAGATGGGGTTAGATGAGTTGTGCCACCACTACCACCACCCAGCTCCAGAACTTTTCCATCTTCCCCAACTGATACTCTGCACCAACCACTCATTTCCAGCCCTGCCCTCCCCAAGTCCCTGGTCCCACTGTCCTACTTGTTATGAATTTGATGACTCTGCACCTCTCCCAAAAGTGGAATCAGATAGTATTTATCCTTCTGTGACTGGCTTACTTTACTTAGCATAATATCTTCAAGGTTCATTCACACTGTAGAATGAGACAGGACCTCCTACCTTTTTTAGGCTGAATAATATTGCACTGTTTGTACAGCTGTATTTTCCTTACTGTTATTCTGTTGATAGATACTGGGTTGTTCCTCCTCTTTGGCTATTGTGAATAATGCTGCTGTGACATTGTTACAAACACATTTGCTACTTGATCACCCTCTCCTGAGAATACACAGCTAGAAGGAAAATTGCAGGATCATACAATAATTTCATGCTGAACCCTTCGTGAAGCCCCCAGACTATTCTCCATAGCAGAGGACACGGTACTTTTCCAATCTAAAACACTCAAAAGATCAGAATGTGGACACTGAAAATAACATTACCATATGTACAACTTAAAATAAGTGTTGTAACTCAATTGTCATTCATAAATACAAAATTTTATTTGCACTTCATTAGTGTAGAAAGACCACGATGCTTCTCATAGCACAACACTCAGGATACGCCAAGTTATTCCAATACATACTTACTTATTTACCTTGACTAAACAAAACAGTGCAGTTTAATAAAAGATATACCAAAGATAGAATTCACAAATTCATTAACAGACCCAAAAAAAAAAAAAAATGAACACAGTCTACGCTTAATAGGAATAAGCTTCACCATAAAGGGGAGAACTTTTTATCATTACAAAGATACTGAATATTTAAGCAAATACATGTATGTTCTTTGATATAGTAAAATGTATCTTTAAAACTCCTTTGAACAGGATTTGTTTAGGACAGCAGCGTGGTTTTTAGAACTTGTTCTACAGTTTCTGCAAAACTGCAGTGCCGGGGACAGAACCCAGGGCCTCAGGCATGTTACACAAGCACTCTACCACTGGGCTACACTCCTGGTTCAACAGTTCTTCCTTTATTGACTCTGTTGTTTTTAAAAGCACAGGGTATGTCCATTAGGAAAACCATGAGATTCTGCAGGGCAGGACCAAGTCAAATCCAGCCCTCTAACTAGAAATACCCTATCATTAGGTAGCATGAATAAATAACCTTCAATGACAGCTATGGATGGAGCTCTGCTTTGTGGTGGAAACGCTCCAATATTTCAAGATGCTATAGCTGGGGAAATGTCTTGTAAATAAAGAAAAAGCACTAAGAGCTTTTTTTTTTTTCCCCAAAAAGTCTTTAGTTTTACAAATTTTCTTTAAAACAATAAGCAAAGCACCACTTTCTCTCTTATCAGAATATCTTCTGTCCTCATAGTATAAGTAACAAGGACAATTATATTATTTAAGAAATATTATAGCTCTCATCTCTCCCATTCTTCATATTAGAAGTACTACGCCTCCCAGTGTGTGTACACTAGACACTGGGGTAATGCAGGAAATATAATTTGGAGGGAAATATGTAACTTATAACCCAAACTTACCCAGGATTGCATATTTGCATATTTACAAGTTAGTGTATAGCTCTGACTTGGATTACAAAGTGCGGAAGGAAATTGTCAAAATGATTGTAGTGCAGAATAGAATGTTTTTGCCCCTTTCTAGGAATTGTTTCCACTTTTGTCTCCGAAGTAACAAATCAACAGCATCGGACATGTGGTCTTGGTGGAGGCAGTTCTGGTGGGATTTCAGGCTCTGGTTGTAAGGAGAGGATGCTATTGGACAACTCATTCCTTAAAATATCCAGAGGCATCTAAAGTGTAAGGGAGAAACACAAATACGTTTTAGCCTTACAAGGTAAAGGTAAATGTTTTGCAAACTGTAAAATAAAGTATTGCTTTATATGCTTCACGAAGCTTTTCAAAAGGGACTGGGATGTAACTAAGCAGTAGAGTGCTTGCCAAGTATGTACAAGTCCTAGGTTTGATACCCAGCACCACAATAAAAATAAAAAATAAAGTTGTAGTATAAAGATCTCTGATCATCAAAAATTAGACGTTAAAGTATTAGGCGCAAACAGAGCAGCGCAACCCCGTCCAGGATGCTTCTATTCACAGCATGATCACTGCCCAGACTAGTTCAGACCATGTGGTAGAAGAGACCAGATCAACCTCAATCAACATTTATTTTCAGAGTCCAGTATCATGAAAAAAGAGAAACAACCACTCTTGGTAAGTATGTACACAAACTTTTTATTAGAAGCTTCTGAATTACGATTGAACTGAGAAATTGTAATAGTTGGTCCTCTGTATCTGTGAGTTCTACATTTATGGATTCAACTTGTCAGGTGGAAAATATTTGACAAAAACTGTATTGATGGAGTGGGGAGGGGGTTAAGGGGGAGAGACGATGGGAGCAATGCAACTAATGTACAATGTAAGTCGGAACAGGCACTATGAATCCCCCCTGTAGGATGAATAAATTCTAATAAAAAAATTTTATTAAAAAGACTGTATTGAACATGTAGACTTTTTTCTAGTCATTATCCCCTAACAATACAGTATTACTATTTACACAGAATTTACAATTATTAGGGATTATAAGTAAGTAATCTAAACATGATTTATGTTTATGGGAGGTATAGGTAGGTTATGTGCAAAAACACCACCATTTTATATAAGGAACTTGAGTTGAGCCTCATTGAGTTTGGTATCTTCAGAGGTCCTGGAACCAGTCCCTGGTAGATACCAAGGGATAATCTGGCTGAATAAATTTCTTACTACAAACCTTTGAACACAAGCCTAAAAATTCCTGAAGAAGCTATTGTTGCTCCATGAAGCTGTCTAGCAATTTCCTTGCCACACAGCATCACCAAAAGGCCTCTATAAATAAAAGAGGTCCCTCTAGGAGCCGGACACTAAGAAAAGAGAAGTTCTAAGGGCTCATTCCTCAGATGGGAAACCTGCAACTTTGTTAGGTCTTCACTGTCCATGTTGAACTTAACTGTGGGAGAACAGGAAATGTCAAATAAATACAGCACTTCATTTATTTCTTGGCCACGGTGGAGACTGAATTCAACACCTCATGTATGTTAGACAATTGCTCTACCACTGAGCACACCCTGGCCCCACTTTATTTATCTTAGTTTTTATTTACATCTGTAGTACTGGGATCAAACTCAGGGTCTCACACATGCTAAACAAACACCCTAGTCCTGTGCCTAGCTCCCAGCATCTCATGGAACATTATCATGCCTGCGTAAGTCACACCACCAAGGCACAGTTCAAGGAAAACAGGTTGTACATCAACCCTAAGGAGTCAAAAACCCTTGGATAGAAACCAGCTGTCACAACAGCCAGGTGGGTCTCTTTGCCAAGTTAACAACTATACCTGGTTCCAGAGCCTACACATAAACTCTGTACTTTTGTTGCTGAGGAAACAGGTTTCTAGCCGGATACCAGTGGCTCACGCCTGTAATCCTAGCTACTTGGGAGGCAGAGATTGAGAGGATCGTAGTTTGAAGCCAGCCTGGGTGAAGAGTTCACAAGATCCTATCTTGAAAAAGCTCAACACAAAACACGGCTGGCGGAGTAGCTCAAGTGGTAGAACACCTGCCTAGCAAGTGTGAAGCCCTGACTTCAAACACCCCAGTACCGCCAAAGCAGAAGAGAAACTGGTTAATGTAGGGTATTTCTTTTACCTTTTTCAGAATGTCATCAACAAGTTTCAGAAAGATCTCATCCACATTGAAGTTATCCTTGGCACTTGCTTCACAGAACCGCATCCCAGTTATCTGCTGTGCAAACTGAGAAGACATGCGCATCTGTTTCACTGTGTGGCCTCCTGATCAGGAGACATTGCCTTTGAGCCTCAGCTTTAAGGGAATGAGGACCCAAGGTCCATAAAGTCCCCTTTATGCTCAAATATCAAGTTCATACATACAACATAAAGCAAACTCCTACATTATAAGTAAATAGCAAAAGAACAATAAAATCTCTGGGTATCAGGACCTTTAAATCAGATTACAGGCCTACATTTCTACATGTGCAATGCACCTGACATTTACAATGTGAATATCATCGCTTCTCCATGACCCAATCATTAGCAAAAGCCAAGGCAGGTAAAAATACATTAGAATAAGAGGAAATCATGAAAGCAAATTTTACAACCTAAAAAAATGTTTTCCTGTATAAAATGTCAGCTCAGACAGTAACACAGTATATACTAATATATTTTCCCCCTCTACTTCAAAATAAATTCAAAGGAACAGAAGTTCAAAAGAGAGAGAAAGGGGGTGGGGAGGAGTGATACAGCGATCACCACATTAACAGTTACTGCACAATTTAAAAGAATAAGCAATTTATGAACGGATATAGTATGCATACAGCATGGAAACTGGAGTCTTCTGGGGTTCTCATGCTCTCACCTTTTCTCCTTGCTGTCTGGTGATTTCTCTGTCTGTTTCACAGTCCAACTTATTTCCAACTAGGAGAAGTTCAGCATCTTCTGAAGCATACTGTGGAATTTCAAAGATGAGCACCATCATACACTGACAGAGCAAATGTGAACCAGTACATTATTTGTCACTGGTTTACCTTCCACCATATGTGAGCATCCTCTGGGCCCAGCCAGGATTGGTGAGAGACAGGGCACAAGGTATTTTAGAAAATACCTTAGTAACAGACATTAAGAATCCCCACACTCTTGGCCATGGAACCAGTCATGAGACTCTGTTAAGGAAATGATTTTAGAAACAGGCAAGCTCTGTACTCAAAATGGGCATCAATTATAAACCTAAGCTCAGCAAAATGGGTGAAGAATGAAGTAAGATGTGTAAAACTCAGCCAGAAGCAAACAAAAAAAAAAAACCGCTATGCTTTGGAAGGACACTGAACAATACAGGAAGGCCCTCATGATAGAATACTTAGTGAAATTAACAGGATGTAAAAGCAAATGGAGTCTAAGATTTCAAATTTACTTTTGTGCTTTTCCTGATTTTCCAAATTTCTGAAATGAAGTCATTTCAGAATCATTTTATAATTAGGAAAAATGCTATTTATGTTTAAAATTTTTTCAAAAATACAAGCACAACAGTTTTTCTCCTTAAAAAACAAGCTGGGTGCCACTGGCTCACCCCTACAATTCTAGCTACTCAAGAGGCAGAGATCAAGATGATCGAGGTTTTGAAGTCAGCATGGATAAATAGTTCAAGAGACCCTATCTCAAAAATATTTAAAAGGCTGGCAGAGTGGCTCAAATGGTAGAACACCTATCTACAAGCATGAAGCCCTGAGTTCAAACCCTCATACTGCCAGAAAAAGTTAAGCCACAGCTGGAGTTGTGGTTCAAGTGGTAGAGTGTGGGTCATTACCAATACCTCCTACTTGGCAGGGGACACAGCTGGCTCATGGTGAACACCCAGAAATTACAGCTCTTCCTCAAAGAACAGCAAAACACAAGAAAGAACTCAAGTGCTAGACAAGGTGCACGTCAGTCCTCAAGACCCTAGCAGATTGATGACTCAGGTACATAATGGGCCCTCAGTATTTAGGCCACTTCCTTTGGTCTCATCTTTATTATATTAGTTTCAGAAACTTCAGGCTACATTAAGGGCTATCCTTTATAATTTCCTTAGGTGCACACTCTGAGGCATCTAAAATGGAGCCCTGGCTCAGTGGGCCACAACCATTGTGTAAATGCAGGCATTTACTAAAATATGAGTCTACAATTGTAACCATATTATCTTCTGCAGCTCAAAGCTTCTCTCAAGGACCCAGAGCCATTCTCAGGAATGTAACCATGAAAACAGTAAGAATTCTGTCTCCAGGACTCCATGGGAGGACAGCATCCTTATTTGTTATTTTAGGGGGGTAGAATTTGAACTCAGGGCTTTGCTCTTGCTAGGCAACACTCATTGCACCTGAGCCATGCCCACAGTCCAGGTCTCTATGTAGCCCAGGCTGGCCTTGAACTCATAATCCTGCTTTGGCTTCCTGAGTGCTGGGATTAGTGCCACCATGCCTGGCTCAAAATCCTAATTTTGATAATCACCAGACAACAAACACAAATGGCCAAGTCATATTTATATGAATCAGTCCCTGTACTTTTTACTTCTCTGACTTTGACCACCCGCCACACACACACCTTCTTTGTTACATGCTTTTAGTTTATTTTAGAAATCGCACCATTTGGAGGTCACGTAGCTGAGCTATGTATTACTACTGGTTTCCCACTAGCTCCCAGCACCTCTGATGTGTAGGTTACAATAATGATTGCCTATGTTACTTTTCAGGGACCTGATGACTCTTCATCTGGGCCCACACAGATGTCTGATGGGTGACCTTTTGATGTTAGAAGGGCGAAAACTCCACCCTCAGAGCATGAGACTTCAATGGCTAACACTGCCATTTTCTGAGCATGAAGAGCCATGAGGTTTCATTACCCATGTGCAGACCACTGACTACTTCACCTTCAATCATCTTAAGTCAGCTGCTTCTGCACTCCATAAATATCTCCAAACACTGTCCGTGGGGAGAAGTTGAGACCTGGGTCTCTGTCCCCACATTTGGCCAGTCTGTGAATAGACTCTTCCTCTTTTGTAACACTCTTTGTCTCAGTGATCAGCATACTGTGTGGTGGGTAAAACAGGCCTGGTTTGCTATCAGTATGGCATGAGGGGAAATCAAACAGTGACCATTACCAAGTGCAGAGCAAGCTGACGACAGGGGGCCCACCTAGACCTGATTCATATCTATAACAAGGGTCCCTAACACTCCAGAGAAGCGTATGTTGGTAAAACTGGACGAAAACCTTTTCTAACATCAGTACAATTGCAGACAAAATATAAGTAGGATTAAATACAATTTAGAAACAAAATCCAAAAACAATGTTAGTGTGCTTATAATGTAAAGGATTTAAGCACCAGATCTCTGTATGAGGGGAAGCAAACTCTCAAGTTTGTGGTGAAGTGTACACCATCACATCCCACTTCCAACTGCTATGTCTTCTAACAGTGTATTTGGAACACATTAATTACATTAACTGTACAGACATGGGTTTTCCATACAGATTCAATCATGAGCCAAAAGTAAAATCTTGTCTTGTTCAGAATGAGGAGCTGAAGGACATCCACAATGCTGAGGGCAGATGTGCAGTGGATGAGTGCGCCCCTGGACAGCCACAGGCACACTGGAGAAGGCCATCTCCTCCAGGGCACAAAATGAGCATCCACAGGACCTTTCTGCAGGAACAAGAGTGTCCTGTAGCTAACTTCATGGAAGTAGCAGATATGGTGGAATGCACATGTTTGGGCTCTGAAATCAGGTAGTTCAGATACCAGAATAAAAACCATAGTTTTATTATTTATACGGACTGTGGATAATTTACTTCATCAGTGCCCCAAGGATCATACACCTACCCTGAGGCCGTAACATGGATTAAGTGACGTTCATCTGCAAAGCATATTCCAAGACTGCGTCTCCCCTTTCTTCCTTTTATGATGAGTGGCACCACAAACAGAGCTTGCATCTGACAGAAGAATACACACGTACCTTATCGATCATCTTCATCCATTTTGGCAAATCATCAAATGTCTCCTTCTTAGTGATATCATATACTAACACGATCCCCTTGGCACTTCTGTAATAAGCTGAGGTAATGCTGTTGAATCTCTCCTGACCTGCAGTGTCCCTAAAGAACAGCAGCAAGAATCAGTGTCCACACAACAGCAGCTGCACACGCCAGTGCCAGCATGCACTGTGTTGCCCTTTATCTCTTATGGTGAGCAGGAGTAACCAACAGTCTCCCCGACCCTTGTAGTTAGGAGTAGGAAACATTTATGAGATATAAGGTAGCTTTGTACATGGATTAACTAAATTGGATGAAGACAGATTGTGAACCAAGATCAACAAGCTGTCCAGAGTAACTCCTTCCACCCCACCCTCCCTAAGAAAATCAGCAATAAGAATGTGCATACATATAAATATGCACGTGTTTAATTTATTCAAAATAAAACAGGAAGTAATTTCTTAAAATACCGTATTTACAAACCCCAATAGTTCACCACTCCCCATTTAAAGTTATTATTCCATGGTTTTTGTGCCTGGCTGCAAATACTTAAAAGTAGGAAAGCATGTTCTTCCACATGACTATTCCAAGTCCCAAAATATTCATCCTGAGAAAGTTTTTATGTTCTATTCCTCTCAAAAGCTTCTTTGCTTATTTCCCCTCTGCACTAAATTATCTGCTAAAATGTGTACTGTCAAGTAACAAGAGAGATGAAATGTTGATTCCATTCAATGAGTGCCTGCTAAATGCCTACCATAAGTAGAACCATCAGAATCCCACTTAACTCTCCAAGCTCACCCACGCCTGTAATCCTAGTTACTCAGGAGGCAGAGATCAGGAGGATCGTGGTTCGAAGCCAGCCTGAGCAAATAGTTCACGACACCCTATTTCAAAAAAACCCTTCACACATACACAAAGTATGAGCTGGTGGAGTAGCTCCAGGTGTAGGCCTTGAGTTCAAAACTCAGTACTAAAAATAAATGTTAATAAGGTAACACACTACTTTATGATTTTTGCTTTCTGGGAAGATATAAAATCCTAATCTTCTCCCCTCTTTATCTCTCTCAACTCAACTTTTCACTGTAATGATAGAGCTGACTTCTAGGAATTCACATTTTGAATGTCACTTAAATCACTGTTTACCATGGCTTGCTTGTGATCTTATTCTGATTGCTCTCTCTGCTCTTGGTGTGAATGGAAAAACTCCTGCAATTCTATTTTGCAATTCCCATTTTGGTAATATAACAATGTTGAAACAATTCAAATGTTGTTTGCTGTTATCTAATATGTCCATTTAAATGATGCTAACTGGAAGGGCAGAAACCAATTTCAGCATATGAAATGCTCCAAAGAAAGGAAATGAAGTTGATGGCAAGCTAACAATGCCTGATGCAACAAAATTTCCCAGCAGTGAATGGTTGGGAAAGGATAAAGGGGCCCATTATTTGTTTGTTTATTTTTGCAGACTGAAGGTTGAACTCAGGGTCTGGAGCCATACCATCAGTGCCCCAGTAAATCATTTTAATACTGTTTGCGTCAAGGCAGAAGACACTTCATGGCTTTAAGTTCATTTCAACACAAGGACTCCCAAGTTCACTGTGTTCACTGTGATAATTTCCAGGACAGCATTTGGGTACAAATTCAGGAAACTATATGCTAATCCACACATTTTATTTTTGAGACGCTCATGGAGAAATTAGTAATAGGAATCTTTCTTTTTTATGTATAGGATAGCAAAATCAAGAACAAGGTTTTTGCTTTTTTTTTTTGCGGGGCGGGGGAGACTGGAACTTGAACTCAGGGAAAAGCAGGTACTCTATCATTTAAGCCACACCTCCAAGCCCCTTTTTTTTTTTTTGGTGACACCAGGGATCAAACCTAGGACCTCACACATGGTAGGCATATGTTCTATCCCTCCAGTCCATCATTTTGATCTAAAATATTAAAGTAAAATATTTCAGAAAATAAAACTTTTTTTTTTGCAGTACTGGGCATGAACTCAGGGCCTACACCTTGAGCTACTCTGTCAACCTTGCTTTGTGATGGGTTTTTTTCAAGATAGGGTCTCATGAACTATTTGTCCCAGCTGGCTTCAAACCGTGATCCTCCTGATCTCTCCCTCCTGAGTAGCTAGAATTACAGGCATGAGTCACCAGCACCCAGTCTTAAAAAAAATAAAAATCTTATTTGAGTATTATGTGATTAACAAAGTACATATTGTGGATCTATGATTCACTCTTGAAAACCCCTTCAGGAAAAGACAAGTCCTACTTCCTAACTGAATCACTGGAATATTCCACGTAGAAAGCTTGCAATCAACCTTTCAATAAATCCCAGTGCATCTCACGATGCCGCCTCAGCAATATTCTTTACCAATGCCATGGTGACCGCTGTAAAAATTCAGGATGAAGGCAAGGGAGTGAAGTCGCAAGGCAAGAAGTGAGGAACTGTTTTTGAGAATATGTTCACATCTGAGAAAAAAAGTGGTCTGGAGCTTCCTTGCCATGACCACTCTTCTCATGGGCCTGGACTCCATGACGAGGGCATTTCTCCATCATGGTGAGAGCAAGTAGGACAGGCCAGTAACTAACGTCATCAGCACAGCCTTGGTGGGCGGAGTTTCAGGGAGGCACCTGGGCATGTGGACATACTTTTACAAACCATAATACTACTGTCAAGCACGAAAACCAAAGTACTAATATATCAAGACATATATTTTCCAGACAGGCCAGAGTCATTGACCACGTGTGTCACTGACCAAAGCAAGCTGCACACACATTCTATAATCAGCCTCCTCATCAAAAAGTACATCATTCACAGGTGCTAGGTTAGAGGCAGACATTCCTGAATCCTTTTAAAGATGGTCTGTTCCTTAAAGAGCTTACAATTAGAAAATTTGATGGCAGCAATGTATAAAGTTTGCTGTCCTTTCAGAGGCTAATAAAAAGTCTCTCTTTTTTGCTATTCAAGTATTTAGATAATGCAGCTAAAAAACACAAAAAAATAAACACTGAAAAGCCCTGAAAGTAGGCTACACAGTCACAGATAACCAAATGAAGGCATTACCTCAGTCAGACACCTCAGGAGGCGAGCAATGCTGGCTCAGTTGCAGCTGTGCCCCAGACAGGGACACGGATGAAGGATGGAGACATGGCACTAACATTCAAGCATTAGGTGACCGGTGATGCCACAGATGAGGCAGCAGTTAACGCAGATGAAAGCAAACACACACAGATGGTGGACAGACAGTCAGAGCGGAGGGTGACCTGCCAAGAGGAGTTAGTAAGCTGAGTACAGTGCACATGTTGGGAAAACAAAATGGTATTCTCAGAGCAGCCCAGCAGTGCCACAGCCCACACCAGACCCCATCCTTTCCTCTAGAGAGGCCACCAGCCCTTCCCAGTGCCACCCATGGGCTGTTGTAGAAGAGAAAGCTCTGCGCACAGCTGAAACAGCTGCTTTGGTCTCTCCTACGGATTAGAAGCTGAAAAGATGTTTCTCTTCAGGCAGGGACCTCTGGATTCCATTCTGGTAGGCAGAAGGGGCTTTGGTCACAGGACATCTGTGGCACAGCAGGAAGGGACCTGCCCACAGCACCAACACACTGTGCCCTGCATGGTGCCCCTGAACTGTCTGCAGGTGACGAGCCTTTTCCTCATGCACTCTGGTTATGAATACATTGGGCTCTCTTAGAATACCACCAAAAAAATAACTTTGAAGGCATAAAGAAAAGCAATTTTTTTTTTTTTGCAGTGCTGGGGATGGAACCCAGAGCCTTGCGTATGCTAGGCAAGTGCGACATCCCTAGCTCAAGACAAGCATTCGAGCAACCAAATTAGTGATGGCAGTTTTGAGATCATGTCAGATGATTTGAAAACAAAGGCATATAAAGGCTCCAAACTAGCTCTCATGCAAGTAAAACAATGCCCATGTGCAAATGAAGTGTGAAGTAAGTAGACACTACTAAATTCTCTCATGAAGGAAGTGTAAAGGAGCAGAAAAGCAGACAAGGTAAGCCAGCTCACACAGTTCATTTTAGCAGACAAATCTGTGGATTGGTGAATACACACAGCAGTGGACTCTGCCACTTACCAGATCTGCAATCTAATTTTCTTTCCTCTTAGCTCTACAGTCTTGATTTTAAAGTCAACACCTGTAAATAAAACAAATATAAAACAAAAATAATAAAGATGCGAGTTGTTATAAAAGTCCTGTTTGTATGCTTTTTGTATTATTAGCAGGAAAAAAAAGAACCCATATCATAATGTTGCAAGAACAAGGCAGACATGCAGGAGGAGCCCCTCCAACTCCCAGGGATTCCCGAGTTCCAAACTGCTGTTCAGAATGACTACATGTATAACTACAGTTCAGCAGACAAGCCATTTAAAAAGCACATTTAGGAATTATATCAACATATTATGTTATCTTAGGGAAGATTCTTATAAGGAACACTGGAAAGTTAACCTGAATTCAGTCTTCATCTGAATTAGAAATTATTGTATTAAAATTTTTAGCACTCACCAAAAAAATTGGTAAATATAAACATGATGTGATTACTATGTTCCTTATAATAAAAGGGAAAAATTGTTTCTAAAAATTTACTATAAGCTGGACATGGTGGCATGCCATAGTCCCAGCTACTCAGGAGGTTGAGGTGAGAGCCCAGGAGCTTAGGAATTTAAGGACAGCGGTTATTATTGTCTCAAAACAACAACAAGCAGGGCACCTGTAATCCTATCTACTCAGGAGGCAGAGATCAGGAGGATTGTGGTTTAAAGCCAGCCCAGGGAAATAGTTCACGAGACTCTATCTTGAAAAAACCCATCACAAAAAAGAGCTGGTGGAGTGGCTCTAGGTATAGGCCCTGAGTTCAAACCTGAGCACCACCCCCCAAAAAAAACCCCACCTCATTCATACTCACTTTTAATTTTTATTCATTTTAATAGTACTAAGCAAGCCAACATGTTTCATCTTTCTGTTTTATTCCACCCTTTAAGCTTCAGATATATTTTTTGTTTTGTTGGGACTGGGGTTTTGAACTCAGGGCTTTGCACTTACAAAGCAAGTGCTCTACCACTTGAGTCACACATCTGACCCAAGCTTCAGATACATTTTGAGAAGCAAATTTTCATATATGTATCTTATCTGATATGCTTTTTTATACAAAAAAGACTTCAAGACAATTCTTTTTCTTTTTTTTTTTTTGCTTGAACTCAGGACCTTCCTCTTGAACCACTCAACCAGCCCCTTTTTTGTGAAGGATATTTTCAAGATAGGGTCTCATGAACTGTTTGCCCTAGCTGGCTTCAAACCACAATCATCCTGATATCTGCCTCCTGAGTAGCTAGGATTATAGGCATGAGCCACTGGCACCCAGCTCAAGACAATTTTTTTAACACAATTTTCACAACTTAGAAAACCGAAAGGGATGCTGGCTAAATCGGAGCACTGCCTACAGGATCTACTTCCTAGGACACAAAAGTGCATGAGCCCAACCTTCCATAGGAACGCAGGCAGGTGTGCGTGCTTGCGTGTGTGTTTGTTTCTGCAGTGAGCATGGAGACCTGTTTGTCCCTTGCCCATCCATTTGGGGACCTGAGGCAGCAATGGTCAAATGAGGATCTGAGGCCAAGAGAAAGACATGTGACTGGTTTTATAATTAGTAACACACTGCAGACACAGGGAGAACATGTTTACCACCCTGGGAGTGGAGGGGAAGTCCCTGTCTATAAAGAGAAGTGCATGAGTATAAAACACCACAAGAAAACAAAGCTAAAGGCTTGACGACATTTCAATTCTTAATCCCTCACACCAGAAAAAGTTGGTTAACTCAATTTCACTTCCATTTCTTGAGCCTAGCTGCACACAACTAATAGCCTTGATCAGAGTCCTGTATGTGACACATACAAGACCCAGCAACAGCATGGACAGAACCTGGGCTCTGATTTTAAAAAGGCACACTGTCATCACAATATTAACCGGAAGTTAAGATTTCCTTGTTGCCATGTTTCTCTACAATGGAATTTACAGATCAAATTCATACTGTTACTTTTGTTCCCAGTTACTTCAAGTGAGTTTATTTTCAAAATTTCAGTTAAGAGGGCTCTAACTTTTGTAAGATTTGTCATGATGGCTGCTATCTTACTCAAAGGAACTGGCCGCTGATGATACCTCTGAGCTCTGCTCCCAATCAACTCATAGCATCCCTTGAAAAGCCAGAGCTGGCCATGTGTGCTTTGATCACACTGCTTCCTTTGCTAAGACTTGCTGAGTCCAAACATGTCAGATGCTTTTTTTCAACTAGCCTGAGAAACTGACCTGATTTTAGCAGTCCTACGTGAGGACTATTTTGTAACCACAAAGTTTAATGAAGTATAAATAGTCAAAAATCAGGAAATAAACAAGGCAAAGATTATCTGATAGTAAACAGTAAAGAATCTGTTCACTGGACATGAAGACTACCTAGTATTAGTGAGTAAATTAAACACAAGAACATCACTAACAACAACAGAAAAATATCCAAGTGGCTTTTATGTTCCATAAAAGACAACAGTTCATTAAAATAGTCTCGTCTCTTAAATAAAATACCCAGTACCATGCCAAACAGCTCTTCTAAGTAGTTTGTAATGACTAGAAAATCGATCCAATTATGGCTTGAAATATATCTCTGTATTGAAGCACACGAACATTCCTAAAACCCTTCTTACATCCAAAGTCAAAAATACCTCAATGTTGTCTACTTATATTTGCATATCACAGAAATGATGATGACATTTAGTAAGTAATAATGGTGAGTGCTAGCTTCAGGAATGAAGTCCCTCACTGATGAACTCCTGAGATGTTTATAAACAAAACAAGGGATAAAGAAGGTGTCACCTTCATTTCTATTAACAGCCCTTGTAGAAAACCCAGTTTCCTACTGGCTTCTTGACTAACATGGAAGCAAGCAGACTTATTTTACAGGATGACAGGGAGAGTCCCTGCCCTCAAAAAGCTCAGTCATGCTGACCTAAATCAACACACCATGCACTTGGCAATGAAGTGGCTTTCTCTGTACCCCTCTCTTCTTAGAGAACCTCCTCGCCTGCCCAGAAGCCTTTTAAATCCTAGATTTCTTATGGGAACCTTTCCCTGATCACACTGCTTTTACCCTCACTCCCTATCAACTGTCCCCAATTCTTGGACTTGAACCTTCCCAGCCCATATCACATTGATCCTTGTGTACTGGTGTCATACTATGTGGCTGAGCATCGGGCATCTTTGGCCACCTGAAGCTATGACACTACCTGGCACACAACAGCAGCTTGATGACCCTGATAGCTGGAAATCACCCTCTCTTCTCCACCAACTGCCATGTATGCCAGAGAAATATTGAGTGTACTAAGTGTTTCTGGAAAAATTAGGAAAATACAGGACAGATTATATATTTAAATACACACACAAACACAAGCACAGCAGGCAGACATGACCTGGAAGTGGTGAATGAACAAATATATGCTTGTGGGGAGATAGTTCCTTTCTCCTGCAGTTTCTCAAAGATGGGGCAGGCTTAACATATCACAGCCTCTCCCCACACACCCACCCCAGCAGCTGACCACGGAATGATTGTTTTCTTGGTTCATCACTTAGATAGAGCAGTGGTCCACTAAATGGATTATTCTGGTAACAGGTGCTTAGCTTCATTTAAGCTTGCCAATTTTATGGAAATCTTTTTAAGAATATGTTAGTGATGCTCCCAGAAAGGAAGGTTACAGGTCTATCATCCCTATTATCAATGGACTTAGACTACTGTATTTGAGTCACTGTGGCTTTTTTTTTTCCTCCTGTTTTGGTAGGACTAGAGTTTGAACTCAGGATTTGGTGCTTTAAAGCAGTGAGCCACACCTCCAGTCCACTGTGGCTTATTCTTGACCTTTATTTCCTTTAGTAATAATGATAGTGGTCATCTGTCAAACTCTTGGGACCTTACATCCAATCCAGCCCATTCTTACAGCCACCAAATGAGGTGGGCATTATCACCCTACTTTATAGGGCAGACACAGTAGATCATTATGACAAAAATCAGATGGTGAAAGAAATCAAGTGGGAAATGTCCCGCAAAAGCCCATAATCATCATCATTACAGTGTTAAAAACAACGCTTGACTTTGCTCTGTGCCTCCTTTGCTGTCTTTCATAAATCTGAGATAGCAGGAGAATTGGTGTTTAAGTCCCCGAGGCATAATATTCCAAAACATTACCCTGTTTCTTTTTGCTAGGCCATAACAAGTCATAAAAATGAAGATAGCAAAAATATACAGACACTTCTAAATACCACTTTTCAACAAAAAGCAACTTTATATCCATGCCAGACTTCACTGAACCTAAAGCAGTGGGAGGATTCCCACAATGAAGGAGGTCTCCATACAAACAGAGTGTGACGTTACTGATGATTTTTAGTAACTGTCTTAAGTTTATATAGTGACAATGTCAACTGGTTTGGGATATAATACTCCTACAGTGGGAGAGAATTTCAAACATTTTAAGTGAGTTGACAGTAACAAGCTAAATTAAGAAGTGTCAAGATCACCCATAAAGAGGCAACAAGTCACCTGAACCCAAGGCAAGTCTTCTGCCCCAAACACATCACCCAACAGAAGAGTAAGGAATGAATCAGCCCTTATAAAGGAAAAAGCAATGTCAACTAACTGGCTCCCTTCGCCTCCTGCACTGTTGCCAGAAAGCGCCCCTCCCATAAAAGCCTATATTACTACCTGCCTTCCCTACCTAAGCTGTATTGTGAGGACTCAATGAAACCAAACTAAAATTATAGCTATAAAATACTGTGACTGTCTGACAGGAAGGAATTGTTAAACAGTAAGATCACCAGGTGTCTTCAAAGTGCAGCTGTGAACCTGGGCTGCCTGTCTCAGGGCTAAGCTCCTCCCACTCACAGTGCAGACAAGGGAGTGGTAAAAAGGGAGGAACTAACAAGTATTTAATGTTTACAAAGAACACTGCATAGTGAGATAAGTACTGTGATGTGGAATGAGGTACACTGGCTGGCAGGGCCAATTCTATCCCTGTACCAGTAGGCCTGCTCTGCTCCTTGTTTATAGACACGAGAAGAAAATATTTAAAGGAGAGAAAGAGGTCTACTGTGGGGGAGGGGGAG